GCAGGAATGGGGGGCAGGGGGGACTGTTGTGTCTGGAGGGGCACCCGGGGGGCGGCTCCTGGGCACTGGGGGTGTTCTTAGGCTGCCTACACATGCGTGTGCGTTTTGGGAAGACTGGCTCAGCTGAGCACTTAAACCCTGCTTTTCTACGTTATACTTCAGAAGAAAGTCTCCCCAGCCAGAAACAGGTTTCCTTAAAATAAGAAAAATAAATAGCGATGCCCCCTCTCCAGCGCCCCCCGACTCTCCGACCTGGGGCTCCTTAGACTGCGCCCCTCAGTGCCCTCCCCAGCTCAGATCCCGCTCTCTCCCAGGAGCTGCACGGATGTCATCTGCTGTGTCCTCTTCCTGGTCTTCATCCTGGGTTACATCGTGGTGGGCATCGTGGGTGAGTTTCCAGCACCCAGAGCCAGGGTGCAGGGAGGGGCAGGACCCAGGCGGGCCCACGGCGAGACCTGTTCCCTACGGCAGCCCTGCCGTCCCATGAGTCATTCATGTGTCTGTCCCCAGCCTGGGTGTACGGAGACCCTCGGCAAGTCCTCTACCCCCGGAACTCCACTGGGGCCTACTGCGGGATAGGGGAGAACAAGTGAGTACAAAGGCGAGCAGAGGGGGGCAGGTGGGAGGGGCCCTCACCCCGAATCACAGGCTCTTCCGTGTCCTCCTCCTGCTGCTCCTCCTCAGTTTGACTTGATCCGATCACTCCAGGCCGGGCTGAAAACTCTCCATGGGAGGATACTCGGCCTCCGGCGAGTCCCCCCTGCACTGGGAGGCAGTTTTTATTTTTTTGTATTTGTTTGTTTGTGTGGGTTTTTTAGAGAGAGATTTTTGTTATATATGGTTTCCAGAGAAACAGAGAGACAGAAAGTGAGAAATCTTCCCCCAGGGTAGATGGCCATGCTGCAATCCCTTCACCTCCATTCTCTCGGGATTTGGGGCATGCACACATGCCCGGCACGGGTTTGAAGCCACCAGGTCCGGGACTTGAACCCTGGTTGAGTACGTGAGAGTCCAGCGACGTAACCATTACGCCATGTGCTGGTCCCAAGCGCATTGGTGTTAGAGTTCAGACCTTGGTGTTTGGATCCCCACCTGGGTTAGGTGTTGCTGGCATGGCCTTGGGTGAGCGACCCGACCTCTCCGCACCTTTCTGCACTCAAACACAAGGCCGGTCCAGCGGCGATGCGTACGCGTTCAGTAAACAGCACGGCCTCAGACGGTAACGGAGCATTTACTGCGTCCGGGCGGCGGTGCACCTTGCACACACCAACTCACTAAATGCACCGACTCGTAAAAGCTCACCTCATACACGAGGCTGAGGCAGAGCAGGGAAGTGACATGCTCCGGGTGGCAGAGCTCGTAATAGGTGATGTGGCTCCAAAGGCCGTGGCTCTCAGCCGTTTGGTCGCTGTTGCCGTGAAGAATGACCGGGTAGGGTGTCTCGCCCCTCCTCAGCGGAGCTGGGACCAGCAGCTGCGTGTGACTCCTCTGGGCCACGCTGAGTCACTGCGCTCTTGGAGGGGGACTCCGGTGTCCCTCCTGCCCTCCATGCCTGACGGGCCCTGACCCGCACCGTCTCTCCTCCTGCAGAGATAAGCCGTATCTCCTCTACTTCAACATCTTCAGCTGCATCCTGGCCACCAACATCATCACAGTCGCAGAGAAGGGCCTCCAGTGTCCCACCCCCCAGGTCAGCAGGGAGCTGCCTCGGCCCAGAGCTGGCCCTGGGTCCCGGGCCCTGGGCCCTTAGCCAGTCCCCGCCCCCAGGTCTGTGTGTCTTCCTGCCCAGAGAAGGCATGGACCGCGGGCTGGCCTGAGTACTCGCAGACGGTCGGAGAGGTCTTCTATAATGCAGGCAGGAACTTCTGTCAGCCGGGGGTGCCCAGCGACATGGTGAGAGCTGCCCCGATGTCACTGCTGGTGCCAGGAGGGCCGACAGAGGGGGCGGGAGGGCAGCGGGGAGAGGGCCCCAGGTTGGCTCTCCTGGGGAGGGTGGGACAGGCTGAGCCACGTGCTGGTGATGGCAGTGAGGGGACCCTCTTCCTTTTCATCCTGCTCGGTGTCTGTCATCCCCCTGCCAGAATGTGCTCCAAAGCCTGACTCAGGAACTCTGCCCCAGTTTCCTCCTCCCCTCCACTCCAGGTGAGAAGCAATTTATTTTTAACATCCCTAGGTGGGCACAATAGTCCAATTTTTTTTTTTTTTTGGAGAGATTTTCACTGTAGGGCGCGTGCGCTCGCCAGACAGACAGAGAGAGACATAGAGACAGAAAGCGAGAAATCACCCCCAGGGGGGATGGTCACGCCGCAATCCCTTCTCCTCCATTCTCCTCTTGGGATCTTGGACACGCATGCACACATGCCCGGCATAAGTTTAAGCCACCAGGTCTGGGACTCGAACTGTGGTCAACTACATGGGAGTCCAGTGAGATAGCCATTATGCTAACTGCTGGTCCCAGATAGTCCAGTATTTGTATTACTCAGACGAGAAAAGCAGGCCCAGAGGGAGTACAGTCACACAGCTGTGGGTGATAAAACTGGAGTTAGAACCGGTCCGCATGGCTCCCTTGGGTGCATGACCCTGCAGTCATATCGCCAGTGTTTATTGAGCACCTGCTACGGACCAGGCCTGGGGACCAACACAGGGAAGATGAACACTGCTCCCTGCTCGAGCTGCATTCTGGGTGCAGAGATCAGAGATGTCCCCTGAGAGACTGTGTGAGAATGTCATGAGAACATACACGGATGACCCTGACAGTGGTGTGTGTGCACAGGGAAGGAATGGAAGGCTCTCTCTCCAGGTGGGAAGTGAATGTGGCCGGTGAGGGAGTCACAGCTACTTCTTTTTCCCCTGTATGTTCTACTTTTCAACAGCAAATATAATTTTTTTTTAAATTATTTTATTTAGCTTTATTTATTTATTTATTTAATTTGAACAGAGAGGGCCAGAGTGAGAGAGAGGAAAGTGAGAAAGCAAGCCTCCAGGTCCAGGACTTGAACCATGGTTGGCCATGGGGGAGTCCAGCGCCCCTAATGCCAGCCCCACAAATGTTATTTTATTTATTTATTTTTTGAGAAGTTTTTGCCATAGGGTGCGTGCACTCACCAGAAAGACAGAGAAGGACAGAGAGACAGAAAGGAAGAAATCACCCCCCAGGGGAGATGGCCGCATCGCAATCCCTTTTCCTCCATTCTCCTCCCAAGATCTTGGGCACACATGCACGTGTGCCCAGAGTGAGTTTAAGCCACGGGGTCTGGGACTTGAACCACAGTTGACTACATGGGAGTCCAGCACCGTAGCCATTATGCCATCTGCTGGTCCCCAGAAATGTTATTTTTTTCATTATTTAATTTTATTTGTTGTCATTATTTTATTTTATTTTTTAAAAGTTGACCAGAGAGAGACAGAGAGGGAAAATGAGAAAGCAAGCTACCAGGCTCAGGACTCGAACCGTGGTCAGCCATGTGGGACTCCAGCCGCCTTAACCACCACACCACCTGTCAGCCCCAAATGTTATTTTTTTAACAGACAATTTTTTTTTATTATTATTATAGCATGAAAAAGGGTATCTAGTTTTCAGTGTAAGTACAATAGGAATCATCCCGAATGAATGCTCCAGCGTCAGATAGATCTGGATCTAACGTCTACCGCTGTGTGGTCTTGGGCCAATCACTCACCCTCTCTGAACCTGGCCTCCGCATCTTCAGAGCGTAGACAAAGCTAGCCTGCCTGGCATCGTAGTTGTGAGGGTGGCAATCTGGCCCTGGGGGCACCTAGCAGGTGCCACAGGAGATAGGAATGGGTGAGAAGGCTTCCTGGAAGAGGTGAGCTGGAGCTGGAGCTGCCTTGGGAGTAATGGGAAGGATTTCTGGAAGCAGGAAGGCACCCAGAGAGGGGTGCAGGAAGAGCAAAGTTGTAGGGTGGGAAAGAGCAGGGTGGGCTCAGATGACAGGGCCCGAGGCCTGGCCAGGAGCGTGGTCAGTCTCCGGGGCAGAGACCTGGCCATCGGAGCTCAGTGGGACCTGGCCCCGCCACGGTGCAGTCCTGTGTGCAGGGCCTCCCTGGGTCCAGCGAGGGCGGTTGGAGGGCGGCAGGTCGGTGGGGGTGTTCCAAGAGTTGAGACCAGAGGGCTGCAGGTCAGACGAGGAGGCGGGTGTCCTGGGCCCTGCATGGCAGGAGTCCTGTTTGCCTGGAAGCCCCTCACCCCACCCTCCCCTGAGGGCACTAGAGCCAGGTGGGGCCAGACACCCCCAGGAAAGCTCTGGCCTCCCGCGAGCAGCCTCTGTCCCCTCCAGCGCTGGGCCGCTGCTTCCCTCTGAGCAACGCCACTGCACCCGATTTCCCAACGATCCAGAATTCCTCCGTCCCGGACTCCATCAGGTGGGCCTCCTCCTCCCTCCATCTCTGCCCACACCCTCTCCCACCCACTTCTCGACAGCCTCAACGCCCGGGACATCAGTGTTAAGATCTTTGAAGACTTTGCCCAGTCCTGGTACTGGATCCTCGTGTGAGTCACCAGAGTCCCTGCCCGCTCACCGGTCCCCCAGCCCCATGTCTGAAAGAGGCCAGGGCCAGAGGAGAAGGTGCCAGGGCTCAGAATGGACCCAGGCCCAGCAGGGTTTATAAAGAAAGGGGTCTACTCTGAGGGCATCGGGGTATGGGAAGGCATTTGGGGGGCTCTGAAGGGTGACCTTCGCCGCCGCCCCGCAGTGCCCTGGGGGTGGCTCTGATTCTGAGCCTGCTGTTCATCCTGCTGCTCCGCCTGGTGGCCGGGCCACTGGTGCTGGTGCTGATCCTCGGCGTGCTGGGCGTGCTGGCCTACGGCATCTACCACTGCTGGACGGAGTACCGCGTGCTGCGGGACCGGGGCGCCTCCATCTCCCAGCTGGGCTTCACCAGCAACCTCAGCGCCTACCGCAGCGTCCAGGAGACCTGGCTGGCTGCGCGTGAGTGCCCATCCGCCCGCCCGAGCACCCAGCCCGGCTCCCC